CAAACACACGCCCGTCGGCCGAACAATCACAAAGCAGCCTACTCATCAAGCAAATAATAAAGGTCGGTCGCGTTCGGAAATCACAGCCAAAATTTATCCAGCGGTAATTTCAACAATTTCAACAATTTGCCGAGCAAGCGGAAAATGTCTGAATAATTATTTACGCCACAGCTTGTGTAACGAATCAAAGGCCAAAAAGCACGGCAGGAAAACTTGGTGCGCGGGGCCTGCGCCGATTTGGAAAAGCAACCCTGTAGTTGATCAGGTTGATAGTGGTTGTTCGAACGGCGTCATCGAAAACGTGGGTATATTCAAAATTGAGGCCGAGCTTCTAGATAATAGAAGGGTGAAACAAAGCGGGCGATCGAGAGGAAGCAGAGAGAAAGAGACACAACGGAGAGAGAGAGCACTCCTGAAGCCCTCGAGACATTGTATCAGAAGCTGCCTTCCAACCGCGCCGACGAGCAAGTTTTGAAAAAGTGAGTTCGCCTCCGTCATAATTATACGAGAGCAGCAGCTCTTGTGTCTCTAAAACGCAGCTCACCACGAAACCCGAGTCGCCGGTTTAATTATAGGCGCGTTCGTACGTCGGATCAGGAGAGAGGTTCGAATAAGTTATTGTATTTCGCGACCCCTCGGCGTCGTGCGTGGGCCGTACGTGCTGCGTGTGCTTTTAAGAATAATCGATATTTCAATGTCTGCTTGTTGGGCCAGGAATTGATGCACGGCCCGTCCAAATGTCAACAACGCGATAATTTCTCATGCCATTAGGCCCTTTCTCGAGGTGCTTTTTGCCTGTGTGCGAGCTGCGTACGCGTGCCACTTGATCTTTTCAGCGCAGCCAAGGCACTTTGCCGTGCTGGAAATAGCGTGATATATCGAGACGTGCTGTCGTGTTCACCGAAAATTTTATCTTAAAAATGGTCTCCAGCTTTATTCTTGAAATAATTAAATGAAATATTATTAGCATAATATTGTTGTGCATTCATCCAATTGTTGCAAATACATTGTTAACATTCAATTTTTGCCCAAATTAAAAATATTATAATACAAAATTAAATTATTTATTTTGTTTTAATAAATTTGAGAAGAACATGAATTCATGCAACGATAATGTAAAAAACTGAAATAAAAATATAATTGAAAAAAAGAGTCATATTTGAATGAAAAAAACTTAAACAGTGCTCTATAGAGAACAGATTCATCAAACTATTATTAACTTTATTAAAATATTAAAAATTCAAATACTTAAAAATAAATAAAAAAGTAAATAAATTTTTAATCTAAATATTTCATTTCAATTAAAAAATTGCAACGATATTGGCTTGAGTAATTTAAAATAATTAAATAAAAACAACATTAGTAATTTCAAGCCTTTGTTAATTGGGAAATAAATAATTGAATATTTATGAGCTGAGTGCTGACTGTTAATTTCAGTAATTAAAATCCGTCCCAAATATTCTCAATTAAAACAGATTGATGAGGTGCTGTCGTCCCTCCTTTGTTCAATTTTGCAGCTTTTTGATGTTAATCAGTGAGTCGGTCAACAATGGAGTGCCCTTTGCTATATTATGCGGTATAGGCATCGAATTTTGATCTGCTCCATACGCGGCTGAAGAGTCACTCACCGGGTTGTTCGTTCCCAGCTGCTCGGCCGAGGCAAAGCACACTGAATTATTCAGCAATAAGAGTGCATGTGTGTGGCAAGGGTTAACGCACCCACACTGATGTGCTGTGTGTGTGTGAGTGCGTAACGGTGATGCGACTATGGCTCCAAAACAATCAGCCGGCATTCAAAATTAAAAGAGCGGAAGTGGTTCGGGACTTATTTTGAAGCTCTCATTTTTTGGACCTTTTCACACAATAAAAAATTACGAGTTTATCTTGCAGATAGCATCGTATGATTTGGGAATGCAATTAAGAAATTATAGCCCTACAAATCATTTTGGCTAAATTGCATGTCAACGGAGCCCATTTTTGCGTGGGAATGAAACTCAAACGCCGCGCGCGTTTCCTCTCAGCTCTTGATGAATTAATTTTGTTTGCATAGGCAACCGACTTAGTAAGGCGTGAAAGAAGCCATAAACTAAAACTCGGCTTATTTCACCGACTCGTGGAAATTTCGTTTTGCAAAAGCAACATAATGACTTTTCTCAGCGTTCAGTGCTGCAAACAAACAAACCATGACGAGCACCGCGAGCGCCTCTCATCTCATCTGCTCGTGGTGCACTGCTCGGTTGCAGCTTGATTTATTTATCTCCGAGACAATGTTTAGTTTGAGGGCTGTGATTCAGCTAGCCGAGAGACAAATATTGAACATCTGTCATCGCTGTGTGTTTTTCACAATATTAGACGTGTTTATCTGCTGGAAAGGGTTAAGCTGGATTAAACCACTTTCCGCTTTTCTTTTGAAATATCCAGAAAGTAGCAAATTTTTAATATAGATCGTATTTGTGTCGAGGTATGTAAAATATTGATGTAGGTCATTTTTACAGCCAATTAAAAACGAAGCTGAGCTCACGCCGTCATCTGATCCGCGTTGTGCGGCAAGGAAGGCACTTTTTGTCACACTACATGAAGAAGCTGCTCTTATTTTATATAAGAAATAAAAGCCTCGGCTCTCTTCTCTTTCGCGCGCACGCATCCACGAACAAGGCCACACGCTTTGCTTTTTTGCAGAGTTGAATTTCAGCTCGAAAAATAGACTTCTGTTGCGTACACGAATCATCAACGCAAAAACCATGAATTATTAAAAAGCGAGATAGAACGTACGTGCGTAAGTACACGTATTTGCAAACATTAGATTACCAAGCAACGCGAAGCGATGAAAATAGAATAATTCGCAGCAGCAAAGGCATTGCCAAAGAGAGAGAAATACGTAAGCTCCCTTTGAGCGTGCAAATTGAAATTCTGTGTATGAAACGGGAGGCGAGCCTTTGACTGTGCCAAACAAAAGGCCCAGTAGTCACCAAATGTTTTAATCAAATATTCCAAACATAAATTTATTTACATCAGGTAACTTTTTGAGAGGAAAATCATATGGGAAATTCAATATGTCGATCCATCTCTCGCAACAAGTCAGAAAAACAATGAAAATGTATTCCCATTGGGAGAGAATCGGCAGTCACCATTATAAGTATAAACAACTTAATTAATAAACATCATTCAGGCTTAATTTTAAATCTAAAGAGTTTCTAAAAAACCCATCTCGTAGAGCTGGAGCCATAAATTTTACTTTTGTTTGCTCAATTGGGCAAATAAAAAAAAGACATTATATTTAATTTATTTTCTCTTATTCAAATAAAAAAAAATAACAATAATTTTAATCCTTGCAGGATTTAGCTTAATATATGGGCCTCAGTGAATTACAAATAATCATAATATGCAACAAATCCAATAAACTAAATCAAATGTCGCATAATTTTACATGGAATTTTTCAACCAAGGATTCGTACAAATTTTTAGACTGCAGGAGATAAAATGTGTTTATCATTATTTTTTATTTACAATTGGAAAATATTTGGCTTGAAAAAATACTGTACATTTTTAGAATTACGGCATCATACTTTGCGCCTCAGCAGTCTGTAATAAGGGCCGGCGGAGGGCAATTTGGGCGCGTTCGAGTTGTGGATAAAACAACGCATGCAGCGGTTCAGTCGAAATTCACGGTACAATTTATGTATCACGTGCGCCCGTTTCGTTATATCTCTTGGTGGAAAATGAGTGTTGTTGTGCGCCACGGATAATTATTACCTCTTTTTCTGAATGTGTGCGCGGCAGTGCTGTACGCGCTAGCAGGCTGATAAAAATCAATTAATGACACACCAACAACCAACACACGAGACAACTGCTGCTGGATCTCGAAACATGAAAAAATTCGACCGTGGATATGATCGTACGTGGACTTTCAGAGTTTAAGTCCTTATCGCGATAGATCCAAAAATTGTTACATAGCAATCTTCTTATCCCCTCTTCAGATGGAACGATTTCCCAAACATCTTCTAGCAAAAACCAGGAGGAGAAAGGATATAAATTTCTTTCTAAAATAGTGAGGCGATCACGCACATTCTCGGAACCACCGATAGAAAGCACCCCACTTTTTCCTCCCGAGAAAATACATATATCATTAGGCCAAAAAGATCAGAGCGACATAAAGAAGAACCCTATTGAAAAAAAAAGAATGAAAAGACTGCAAGGAGAAAGAAATAGATTGTGTGTCGTGCGGGTTGCATGCGCGTGCAATATCAGTTTGCGTCGGGGCATGAGTCACACATCAGGGTAATTTGTTATGGCAGAACGGGGAATCCGCACTAATGCCTCTCGGGGCGAGTTGTCCCTCCTGGAGCAGCCGACACCGGATAAATTTCAACCTCGATACTTTATAATAGGAGAGCAAGCGGGCACAGGGCCTAATTAATACGGGATAGGGATTAATGCAGTCTGCATCTCGTCCTGGGCGACGTTAGGCAACCCGCCTGGCTTACACACAACCGTCCCATTACGCAGAGACGAGAGCCCATTTCCTACCCAGCACCCCTGGCTCAGAGACCAAAACGAATTCAAACTTTGAAAACATTAAATTTTGTTTATTCTATTTAAATCACACATTTTATAAATAAATAAATTGCTTCAACTGGAAATTTTTCGCAGCAGAGTCATTTTCTGTGTTCAAAATTCTAATTTTTTTATAATATTTCCTGCTTAGTAAATAAAATTGTCTTTATTTGACTAGATTTATTTTTCTTTGATTTCAATTTAAATTTGGAATTTTTTGTGCGTAAATTTCTCATGATTTATCTAAAAATAATTAATGCAGATTGAAGAATATTCACTTCAAAATAGAAAATTATTTTATTAAAAATGTAACTAACTATTGGATTTGTTCTCTAAATTAATTTGTGTTTGTTTTTCGGAATGCTATGAATGTTAATAAAAATTTCCCAAAATAATTAATAAAATAATAATTAGTAATTAACACAAAAAATGTTTATACGACAAACCTTGAATGCAGGTGATGCAGAGCAGGGCGACTAAATATCCAATGCTGTACATGCTGGAGAAGTGCCTGTTGTTCATGTCGACGCACGTCACAAATTCGCGCACGCAGAAGTGGAAGGCGTCAAAGAGTGGACGATCGGCGGCAAAAAAACCCGGCAAAACTGCGGTCACTTCGAATCGAGTCAGTCAACAATGGACACTGGTGACAAACGAGCCGACGAGCGGCGACATTCGAGAGAGCGGGAGCCGGTCCGACACGTTGCGAGCGCCTGCAGTCTCTGCCACGGCCGCCCACAACAACAACCTCGAGAGCTTCCCGGCGGTTCAAGCGAGCGCGCCGACGTCGACCCGCGAGCGCCCCCCTCGCCGCAAAACGCGAACCGCGACTCTGCCGATGCGCACAGTAAAATTAATTTATGTACGCTTTTTCTAATTATGCGCGTTCGTTTCAATTCCTGCGTCGCTAGCTGCGATCAATGAACTAGACGTTGAAAAGTGCTACTTAACTAATTAGCATTCCAACTACTGCAGAAATTTTTTATTAATAATTATAATTTTAAAAAATATACAAAGCTAAAAAAAGGAGTGATTATTAAAATTTCTATTGATGAAGTTGGCACTTGAAGAGACGTTTTTTAAACTGCTGTGTAAAATATTATTATTTTTTACTCTAAAAAGATGTTTTTAATTGAGCTGAAATATAATTTATATGTATATATTTTTTTTAAAGTAAATTTTGATTTTCAACCAAAATTTTTACTATGGAAAAAATCTAATTAGCTACTACTGCAACTTAAATTTTTATGTTTATTATTTTTTAACAAATAACAGAAAAGAGAAAAAAATGGACACAAAAGAAATTTATGTGCAAAAGTAACATAAAAATTACTAAATTCAATAAGCCTGGACTAAAAAGTATGTATAGGCATAATTTGTTAACTAAATATTGGTAATTTTCATTAGATTTGTTAACTGTGCATCTCATTTTGATTATTCAAGGTAATTCCAAAGGAATAGTCTTGAGTTTTTTTATATTCTGCAACATAAGCATTACACGTTCTGGAATATAAAATAATTTTAAATTATACCGATTGATGCTAACTAATTTACACACTTAATCTAATTTTTACTTGCAAAACTTAATTGAAGAAGCAATTTTAAAATTGAGTTTTTTATTGTTAATTTAAGGCCCCTTGTTTTCTAATGTTCCCCCTTATGTCTCTCCGTTTGAGAAATCAAATCACAAATCTCCTTTACGGTTGCCAATTAGTCAATTAAAATCTTCCTTCCCCCGTCGCACTTTTCCTGCAAATGCAGAATATTCGGCAACGCTATTTCCTCGTGAGTATTTTTGGAGCTGCAAGTCTAATTAAAATTAATTGCGCGCGCCTTTTAATTGGCTTAATTTATTACCCGAGCGAAGAAAGGCTTGGGCGCGTAATTTCTAGTTTGGCTACACTTAATTAAATTCCGCTCTCCGCACAAATTATTTCAAAAGAGAAACCAATCTCGCGCGTACACACGCACACAGCACTTGTATAATTCTCTCCCCTGAAAATGCTGGTGGCGTCCAAAAATTTATTTAGTTAGTCTGAAATGACGGAGGGTGCAAAGTAGAGAGAGAGGCCCTTTGATTATTTTACATGCGCGAGGGTTTAACATTTCACCTTTTATTACCGGCGCGAAGTCAAAAAAGTGCTCACTCAATGTCTTTCGGTGGCAGTGCTGCGGCTCGGTGCCTTTTTTATTTTTAATAAAAACACACTTCCCCCCGCTTCAAACATTTATCTCTCTAGCCCCGGCATTTTTACCTGCTGGTGCTGAGCTCTTTTGAAAAAGCAGAAAAGTCGAATGAGAGGGAAAGAAGAGCGAAATGCTTTGCCGAATGAGAGAGAGAGAAGAGAGCAGACTGTTTCACAACTCGTAAAGTTGATGTGTGCGGCTCGTCTTCCCTGCCTGCTAATGAGTTTGCGATGGATTTGCTCAAACTCATTAGGCGTCGGCGGGGCACGTTCCATATATACACCTTTTACTTTTCAATCCTTGCAAAGAGTGCGTTCGCACAAAAAAGCTTTCGGCTGTGAGGATTTTCCCGAGAGCTCCTTTCAAGAAAACGCCGCGGTATTTTGCTTAACTCGCCGCCAAAATGAGAAACCTCGGTGCTGAAAAATAATTTTCGTTTCAATTACACGAGCAAATTAAATTAACCCAAATTATTATAAAAGTTGGCGGGGCCGCGCGCGCACCAGCAGCAACCGATGCATTTTCTCTCACTCAGATTACATCTTCTCTCTCAGCTCAAAGGAAAGGGGAGAAAACCCTATTAAAAATTTTGCATAAGTAGTCGTGCGCGATTAAAACGTCGGGGTCAAAGTTGCTCGCTGCCTCCCTCACGAGAAGAAATTGCGTAATTAAGTATTCAAAGATTACCAAAAGCGGCGCGTGCACCAAATGCACAATTCCTCGAGTCGATTTCACGGAGCAATTTGCATTTGCTCTCCCCTCAACTTCTCTTGCGTGCAAACGCAACAACAACGTTCGCTATTTTGCCGTCGGTGGAATTGACATGTCGCTCGCTCGCTCGCTCGCGAGAACCCTTTCTGCAACTCCCTTTCATGTGTGTAATCGACGGCACTCTTGCGCTTTTTGAGCAAAACTATTAATCGCGTTTTGCATAACTTAATGGTGGCGACGCGGGGAGAGCCAACTTGCTACCAAGGAAAAGTACCAAGAATAATAATGCATATGCAATTCGAGGCGCTTTTGAAGTTTTGTTCTCTTGACTGAACAAAACTTGAAGTTTGAAGTTTGTTCCAGTGAATATGGGAGTATTTCTAAAATATGTATCGCGTCTATCTATAACTAAAATTGAAACATTTTTGAATATATCATAATCATAGTAATATTTATTACGCCTTTTATTAAGAAGAGATTCGAACATTATAAATTTATTAAAAATTTCTGATATTGTTTGTTTTATTATATAATGTTATAGTCTATAAATTAATTTTTTTTAATTTATGTCATTATAATTATAGGAATGATTAAATAAAAATATTAAAAGCATGATTTAAAAATTTAAAAACTAAATATGATATTCCATGAAAAAAAAAAATTTTATTGTAAAAATATATTCTTATACATTTATTTACATTAATTTTAAGTTTCAAATTAATTTTTTTTATTTATTACTTAATGAATACTGCAGGAATTAAAATATTATATGAATATGCAATTTTTTGGCTGCGATCACAAGCAGTTGCTCAGCGAGCCCCGTTGAAGGATGGATTTGTGTAAAATCATGCCCTCTGTGCGTTTTGTGTGTTCGAACATTAGCCCGCAGCCGAGACAAAAGGAACACACAGCGTTTAACATCAGCTGCAACATTTTCAGCGAGGTGCCCTCGCGAGGGTGGGAAGCGCCGGAGATCCCGCCGCCGATTCCACCCCCGCCTCTGTGTGTATAATTCTGAGCGCTGCGGCAAAAGTTGGATGGCTGCTGGCACTCTTTAATTCACCCCTGTAGTTCTCAAATCCAAAAAATCCCCCTCGTCGACGTGCGCGAACACCCAAATAAATACACGCGCGGACACGTAAATGGACTTTTTATGGACGGAGCCGCAAAGCGTCACAAAATACATAAAAAGGCAAAAATCTTTTTTCCTCGCGCTAACAGCAAATGCACAGAAAAACTTCTTCATTGTCTGACCATTTCTCTCGCAAAACAACAAAAATGCCAATGAAAATATCAAAAACAATTTCATATTTTTACTAAAATTTTTTGAAATTTAAGTGCGAAAGCGAGTGTGTCGCAGGTAGGTGCTTGTAATTTAGCATGCCTGCCCGCCACTAATTGATTTATTATTGCGCCACTTAGGCGTATATAAGGGGGTGAGTGTGTGTAATGAGTGCATGAAAAGAAGGGTTGGCCGCCGCTTTCGGACTTAAAGCGTGTAAGCCCCGGCGGCGGCGGCTGGCAGCCTTTGCCGCAGCCAGCATCCCTAATGGAATGTTGTGCGGCGTGAAATATTTATGTTAATTATAGAGAGGCGTGTAATGTGCCTGGGAATTTGAGCCAAAATAAAACATGCGCCGCCTCCGCCCTTGTGCAATTAACCGCCGCCGAGCCGGCAGTAAATTTCACCCCCAAGATCAGCATGAAATTATTTAAGGCAGCTTTACGGCTGGGAAATTTGTCAATGTTTCTCATACTTATAATTCTTAATCCATCCATCAAGGCTTTTTTAACAAGGAAGCTCGTCGTTTAAATAATTAGAGTGGAAGTATCAAGATGCAAGAGAAAAATTGTACTCGCAGATGATCGAATTAGTTTTTTTTTTTTCATAAAAATAAATAAATGTGTAGTTTTTATTTTATTTTTAAATACAAATTGATACTGAACGCAAGGACAAAATTTATTTTCACAGCACTTTCGATTGTGCTTTAAATTTTTAAGAGTGAAACCGGATCCTAAAAAAACATACCGAACCAGCGGGTTCGAAATAAGTTTCTGTAAAACAACGGGAGCTCAGTTTTTTTCTTCTTCTTTTTCCTCACACCCTAAAGACTTTTAGGGGTGTCTGCACATGCACTTGCACTCAGCACGCTATTACACATAAACAAATACAGAAAACGAACAAAAGTGGGCGCCGGCGAGATGCGATCTGTATAACAAAAACACAAAATGCCCTCGCACAACTTGCAATCGCAGTTGATGTGTGTGTTTAGTCCTCTCTGGAGGGAATTAAGTAAACACGCGTGCACTTCTTCTCGTTTCGTGAATGATTTGGAAATAAGAGGAGAAAAGGAGGTCTAGTCTCTCCACAAAATATGCACATCTTTCTTATAATAGAGAACCGGTTGTCATCAATCGATCGAAAAGCCAAACGTGAGAAATATTTAAAACCGCACTCAATTGTCACCTGCATATTTGTATCAGCGCGTCAAGTGAATCAAAGAGCAAATTGAGAACTAATGAAAAACTAGTCACTGTATTGCGGTGCGGACGGTCGATGCAGTGGTTTGAACTGCAAACAATAAGCCGTTAATGTGGTTTTGATGCCTCTAGTATGCTTTGTTTGCGTCTCTCCCTGGCACTTTCACAGATCAAACTTCATTTTCACATCATCATCACATTATTTTTATCATACTTTTCACCTCGGCTGCTGGAATGGAGTTTTCATGCCCGAATCAATGATAAAAAAAAATTATGTATAGCTCAGAGCAAAAGTCTCTAAAGTAAACATTTCCTTTCATTTACTCATATGCAATGAAGCAGTTTCAATCAAACATTTGCACTTCTCTTTATAATACAACTTTCCGGCAAAAGACTATTCACAATCGATAGAGAAACAGCCTGAGGTTAAATTAAGCAAACTTGTGCGTTAATTTGGAGGTTTGATTTTTTTGCAATATGAATAGCAATTTACAAAAACTAGAAATAATACAAAAAATTTATTTTGAAATGAAGAATTTTTAATATAAAATAATTAAGTTCATAAGCACTATGTATTGCTTTTAATTTCTAAAGTTAAAGTAAATTTAGCTGGCTTTTTTTTATAAAAATTACTTTTTTGAGTTTCTTTGGATGAATAATAAAGGCGAGCATCAACAGAGGAAAATAGAGATGAAATCTCTCCCGCAACAGACTTACCTCGAAACGTGATAAGCTACATGTATGTACGCGTGCATACGGAATACATACTCGGGTGTATGGGCATGTGTGCGTGCAGTAAAACGTTATATTTCTCATTGGGTATGCGCAACAGATGTGCAGTAGCGGCAGCAGCCAGTGTTATGCTTTCATTCAGTCGGAATTTTTCGGCATTTGACTGCTGCCGGTGGTGCTTTTTATAGCTGCATTGTGTTTGTTGTATTGGATTGAACATGCAAGTGGCGTATGTATGTGTGTGGAAACAAAAGCACAAGTTTTGCGCTACGTACGTTTTATTGTGCTGCGGGATGCTTTCTCTCTCTCTCGCGCGCTGTTATTTGCTTATTGAGTAACTAAGCAAACTGCAGCACTAACTTCTTACTTTCCAGAGCAGGCACAGAGATTACGCTATGAATACACGTTGCTTGTGAATTTGCAAACTTTGTCTCCTTGATGGCGACGAGTTTCCATGCATCAATGAATTTTAAAGATTATATTATCAAACTTTGATTGTTAAATTTTTATGGCTTGTTTCACTAAACGTTTTCAATGATTAATTTGAGTAAAAAGCTAGATCAGCTAAAACATTTTGGAGTCAAACTTCCTTTGTTCCTGCTGCTTTTGTCTTGGTGCGCACTGGCAACAATAAACCGTAAAAATTTATAGTGTCCACCTCAGCTTTTTTGGTGAAATATTGGGGCCAGACTGTGCAAAACTTGTAGTCCAAAACTTTTAGCATGGGTGCGAAATTTTTGGCTAGATCGTAAATAGCCCTGCGTGTTGGAGAAGAGAGGCGAGAGGAGAGCAATTTGTTGAGTGTTTTATGGCTTGCCGCTGCTTTTTGTTTCCTTTCTACAACAGCCCGCTCTTATTCTCGTGTGGCATTTTTGTTCTCCCGCAGCGAAAAAAAAATTCGCTTTCGCCTCCGATGTACACCTGCACTGACCAATATTGCCTTTATTCATTGCTAAAACTGTTTCAACTGAAAATTTGCTTTAATAAACTTGTCTTTTTTAAGAAAAATAAATTAAATCGTTAATAAACATAATTATATAACATTATAATTGTATAAATGTTGATGCTATGTCGTTAGTTATTAAAGAAACACGTTAACATTTTTTCTACTAAATTTATACTGTATAAGGAACTAAAAGATAGATGCTCACGACTCAGTAAATTGGCAAGACAATTAGCCTCAGGCGTGTGACCTTTACTTTGGCCCACCTTAGTGTGTAACTCACCTTGAGAAGAGCCGACGAGAAGATCCCACATATACTAAACGTTTAATCCGACAGTATTCTTTTGAAAACCTTAAGTGAAAGACGTGCACCGTTGAGCGGAAAATAATATGGTGAGTCTTCGGTTTTGCATTATTTTCCCCATTATTGGAAAAATTTTGTGTTTGATGCAGGTAAAGTAATTATTGTAATTAATCTACTGCATTAGTATTACAAATGATTAAATAAAAATTTCAAAGTAAAGCGCTCGCTAGTTTTTGGACTTGATATAAAAATTAATGCTTTACATATTACATGTTGCTGTAAACATAATTATGTGTTTTTATTAAATTGATTAATTTAATTTATAAATTGCAGATTGCAGATAATTAATCCGATGTCATTCACCGTCACATAACAATGATTAAGCTGTTGGTACTTTTGCTGGGCATCTTCCGTATGTCAAGTGCGCAAGGACCCAGGGACACCTGCCCAAATTACTTTGCATATAATTCAGACACGTCTGGCGGTACCTTGTCTATTCCCCCGCCACAGGGAGCTAATAGAGTGAACTTGGTCGTCGAGTACATGGTCCACGTTCCCCTTGACAACGTAAAAAGTTTATTTCTTTTAATCGCCTGAAAGGGTTAAACAAACAAATGCAGAGTTACAGAGGACACCTTAGTTTGGCCGAGCATGAAAATGAAATTAACCGCCGCTTGCAGAGCAACAACAGATCGCCTATCAAATACCAACTGAAGTTTCCAGTTAGGTTTCCTTTACCATACCTAACCAAAATAATAGTTAACAATGAAATGTTGTGTAACTACGTGCCAGGTTTGATTGAATTTTTATTTACTATTTAATCCTATACTTTATTTCTTTTTTCAAATTTAGGCAATGTGCAAGGACCTTCCACGACACAGAAGCTCTACCACGATTTTAAGCTCGAATCACAGGCAACTTTCAGTCAACAACCTCAAAATCAACAATTTTCAAACGTAAATCGCAACCAGAACTATCAGAATAATTATAATTATGCCTACCAGCAACAACAAAATCCTGCTCCCGCACCAGCGGCATTCCAATATTATTCAACAACTCGGCGCCCTGTTGTGACAAGTGTGACAACTTCGGCCCCTTGTCCACAAAATTTTTATACCCAACCGCCAAAGTGCGTGTGTAGTTGTCCCCGCATCCCACCGACGCCACCTCCTGTTCAATGTCCATCAGTGGTGGAAGCGGAAGAAAAACCTCAAGAGATCCGTAAGCGTTAAAGTATTTTTAAATAAATAATAATCTCTATCGGTTGAATTGATTAGAAAAATTCAGAGGTTGTGGAATTTCATCGTCAACGAAATTTCTCGTCCTGAATGGCGACACCGTGACCAGAGGTTCGTACCCTTGGTTGAGTGCAATTTACGAAACAACCGGCACTGGATTGCAATTTGTGTGTGGAGGAACTCTTGTTTCGAAGAAGCACGTTCTTACCGGTAAGCTAACTAGAAAGCCGTAATTAAAAAAATTAATTCTATATTATTTCACGCAGCTGCTCACTGTGTATCAAAGGCAGGCGAAAGATATGCACAAAGTACGAAAAATGTGATCGTATATCTTGGGAAGCACAACATTGTCAGTTTTACAGAGGGAGCAGTAGCACTAGACGTAAATATACTTTAATTTTTAATGAATCTATAACTAATTTTTTTTTTTTAATTAAAAAGATAAAGAGCATAAAAAACCATCCTGGATACACAGGAGACGCCCTGAATGCAGGCGTCGATTTGTCTGTCATCACCTTCCAAACCGAAGTAACATTTGGGCCATACATCAGACCAATTTGTCTTTGGAATCCAGTCAGGGACTATCGAAATTCAGGACAGGTAACGGTTTTGACTAAAAATTTTAGCCTAGTCTGATTAGGAGCTTCCAAGGTGGTCGGCTGGGGCCGAGATGGCTTTGGGAAAGTTGTGTCTCCGATTCCCAAAGAAGCGAAATTGTCGGTCGTAGCAAACTCAATTTGCAGGAAGGACCCTGACCTTGCCAGAATCATGACGAACACGACATTCTGCGCCGGATCAACGGAGAGTTTGTTTAATTTTTTTTCACATGAATAGCAGGGTTTGAAAATCCATTGGTTTAATTAGATAATGGCCCATGCAAGGGAGACAGTGGTGGAGGACTTTACATTTGGTCCGAGAGACCAAGAAAGTGGTACATCCGTGGCATCGTCAGCCAGGCTTTGTGGGACCCAAGCTACAACACTTGCGACCTCAGCAAAAATGTCTTATTCACGGATGTCAGCAAGACCTTGTCCTGGATAACTGACCAAATTGTTAGAGAAAACAGCCTCATAAGAGATGACGAATTTTTGTAATTGTTTCTTAAATTTTAATTAGAGCAAATTGCAGAAATTATATTTATTTTAAAAGAAAAACGTATAATACCTCAAAGTATAAAAATAAATTCATTCTTGATTTTAACATTTAACAAAAATGTTTGATTAAATTATCAGAGATAAATCTCACTACATTAGGAATTTTTAGGAAATTGCCAAACATTAAGTGGCATTCTGTGGCTACATTATATGAGAGATTGTAATAGTGCTTGGCTAAAAATAATTAAAAACTTAATAGAAATTAAGATAAATCTTGCTAATAACAAGGCACAAATATTTTCCTGCCGGTTCTCTGAGCTAGACCAATCATGAATATTTTAATTAAAATGATATTGTTGAATAAGAATGCATGAATTTTTTATCAGGCAACAAATTGTAACAAAGTTAATTTTTTACAAATATTTTAATATGTTTTTAAATCAATCAAAAATATCAATTTATATTTATTATATTTTTAAGTAATTTAAAATTTATTTTTAGTATTTTGTTTTATTATATAGCAGGGACACTTAAAAATTAAAATTTATTATATGGACCGCACAGGACAACTTAAAGCAGATTCATGAACTGCAAAAACTGGATGTTATACATTTGGATGAAAATTAAACAACTTACAATTAGAATCAAGTTTTTTTATCAGCAACAAACAATAACGTGTTTTGGGTTGCTTACTCAAAAGAAAAAAAAAACTAACAATAAGTGGAGATGAGCATTTAAAATCGCTCAAATGAAGACTTTTAAATCCGTCCACAAGGCGCGCATCACATAATCTATTAAAAAGTAACATTTCAATTCACTTAATTAACACTCAAGGAAAGAGGCTGCAGGTTTTTTTTAAATTCCAGCATATTTATACAATTGGCAACTTTTTTAAATTGACTTTAGAAGTAAATGCGAATTATTATCTTGCTCTATTTCGCTGCTTTTTGATGGTTCAAATGCCTCCGTAGAGTTGCTTCATCTTTTGCTTGTGCACCTATCTCTTTCACGAAAGTGGTCATAAAACGACCCAATTCGCCGGCAGTAAGTGGTGCTGCGTGCGGCACTTTCGACTTCAATTGCGACGGCCGCACCGCAGCCAAGGCTGACAAAATTTTCTCAGTCAGCAGCAGCAACGCATCCAACGGAATCTCCTAATTGCACGCTTTATTGTGCAAAAACAAAGGGCCGCCGCCACCGCCTTTCCCCTTTCGCCCCATTACAATAATTCTTATCTACTGCCGGTGACACCGCGCGAGCGCCGCTTTTCTTTCTCCGTTCTTTATTTCGACCAAAGAGAAGAAAAGAGCGGAGAGTGAAAAAAAAAACGGGGGGAACGAAAGATAATTTCGCGTGTACTGCTGCCTTCGTCAAAATTCAACTTCACTTTTGCTCTTAATTAAAAGTGAAAGACGCCTGCTCTCGCGCACAACAGAATTCAAGACGCGAACAAGAACTAATTGTTATGTGTATAATTAAGCGCAATTAAAATGCAAATTGGATGATAACGGTGGCGGCGTCGGTGGTGGAATTAATCAATGGTGTGCGCCGTCCAGACAACATTTTCCTTCTCGTTTTGAGCTGCCGCGCGAGTGCGAGCGCAAAAGAGAGTCTTTCTTGCAGCCCTCGCTGCAAAAGTGCCTGCCGGGCAACTCAAAGGGTGCGCGCCCCCGTTGTGTAGGGCGAATTGCAGGCACAGCGAATGAGAGAAGCGAGTTAATCAAACTTTTTCCTTTGCGCGCACCTGCTAGAGAGAGAGAGAGAACCCAAGTGAAATTAATTCCGCAGCTAAACAGCACGTGAGTGGAAAATTACTCCTTCCTGCATGTACGATGGATTCAAATCGAATTTCACGCGAGAGCATCTATCTCAAGATAGAGCGCACCGTGCAAAGTCAGAGAGATTATTCTCATTTTGTTTAATAGAATAATTTCTTTTTTTGAGCCATCTTTTTTTAAATAAATTCATGAATTTTATTTTTAAATGGAAAATGAATTTTTAAGTCCATTTAATGATTCAAAATAAGTCAAAAATATTATTTATGTAGATTTTTTGAATAATTGATGCGCTTTAAGATATTATTTATTTTCTTTGCATGGGGACAAGCGTAATAATGTCGCTGCTACAAAATATGAATTTCGAAAGGCTAACATAAATTTACGTCAATAAATGCTTGCTTGACCATTATAGAGCGAGTACTTTCCAAGTTTTCAAATGGATTAAATAATTAAGGGAGTTTCATGCCTTCTAACTTGAGTCAAAGGCATGCATTTTGCCACGTTGCATCTGGACAAATAAAGAGAGAAGGAGATTGCATCCATTAAGGTTTGTTGAGAGCCCGACTCGCATTTTCTCTGAAAACTATTCACTCTCTGGGAAGTTATGAAAGACGAGGTGGGCAGAAATTGCTTTTCAAAGGCTTCACTTCTGAAGTAACTATAAGCAATAAATGAGTTTATTAAAATAATTCCTAGCTCGAGTCGAGTGGTGCGTTAGGATATAAATGCAGTGCTCGTGCTTCATTTTGTATTTTTTTTTTAATTTTAGGAAATAAGTGTCATATTTTTAGTTGCTTTACTCCTAAGCAACTCCATAACAACAACAACAACAACAAATGGAAAATTTGTTCTCAGATGAGAAAAAATATCTGGAAAAATTTGGAGATATATTTTTTATAATTATTTGTGTCCCAAAACAATTGATGCAACTTCAAATTGAAATAATAACAGAGAGGAATTTTTTTTCTCATAATTCAAAATCCAAAAAACTAACAGGCAGGACTGCAAATTTAATTTTAATACTCTTCATAGAGTGATGGGAAGAGGCACGATGCATGATTTTCTCTCGCCCCTGCTCTCCAAGTCTGTGCAATCATGGTAATTAGCCCTTCCCGCCTGAGGCTCAAAGGTCTTTACCAACCAGCAAGCGTTTTGCATGCATTACCTTGGATACAGCCATAAATTCATCGCAGGTCTTAACATGCTATTAAGTGCTGTTTAATGAACCTGTACAATTAATTTTCGATTCTCAAACTTCTCTTGCTGCAACTTCAAATTGAAATAATAACATAGAAGATCAACACTCCAAAAATCTACGACATGGGCCTTCAATGCTGAGAAATTTTTAAAGAAATTGATTTATTCCCTGATTAACTCTATAGCAAGAGCAACACAATTGAACCACCCCACGATCCTGCAACTTGAAGTTGGGAAACCTCGAAGATTGTGTTTTGAAAAGCCGTGAGCGAAGAGGAGGTGCAGCGAGGGCAAGGACAAAAGGGCGGCTTTTGAACTTTTTTTTTTTTAAATTGAATTGAATTTAAATAGGGAATATTTTTCTATTGATGAAACATACAGTTTGTTCAAAGTACTAAATAGAGTATTTGTAAATTGTAAATGTCGAGAGTGCAATTTGATATAAAGTTCAAAAATTGTATCGGGCGTCAGCGGCAACACTCCTTCACTTGTTTCACAAAATAAAAGAAGTTTTGTAAAAACCCTACCTTAGAGAAGGTCACGCGCTGACTGGTCTTGACCAGGGTGAAAATCTTTCCAGGACTGATGATGATGGGTTTGCCCTTCTGATTGGTGGATTTCTCCGTCCAAAACAGTCCCGCTGGTCCAGTGCTGAATTTTGCTCTGGCTCATGCAATCCATTGACTGCCACTGAAATTGATAAAGTCCATTATTAATATCTGATTGATTTTAATAATAATTGCAGGTTCAAAAGAGATTTTCAAATCTGATTTGAAACAAAAAATATATGCCTTCATATGCCCCAAGGAACGCTTCAAGTTGCAGGGAGGGTCGGTTGCAGACGTAAAGCGAAACTTGACATCCGGTCCCGCTCGCCCCATTTTTTTCAACGCCGCCTCCAACAGGATCTCTGTTTGGTCCTGCAGATAAAAATTCATAAATTTCATGTCCAAAATTTCCAAAAAATTTTCATTAAACCAAAAGCATAAACTTATTATTGTTTTGTTTCTTCTTCGGATCACAAATCAATTACTTAATATGTAGAGCACAGGTTTACAGAATAAAAAATAACATTCTACTTTGATTTCAAGAATAATATTATGTGAAATTAATGATAATAAAACTTACAAATGGCGGAAAATAGAAGAGATTCGCAGTCGAGCCCAGCACCGAGTACAGGTTTTGGCCTCTCTGCCACCCACGCCATTCAGTTTTCGAGGAAGCTGTGCATGCTGGAAAATAAGATGGAATGAAATTTATCAGAAATTCGCTTCTCTAGTTCTAAAATTGACGATGTGCATTTCATTTTACGAATTGTGTGTGCATTTAGTATGCATGGAAGTACCTCAATCATATGTGAGATTTGGGTCGGTTAGGGATTGTTTTGGATCGCCAACCGTTTTTTTTTTTTTGGCCTCTGCTGAAGTCTTGATGAATTGTTACGACCCAAAAAGCGACGACATAATGAGCACAATTTTGAAATATTATGAAAATATCAAAATATCACCAGAAAAACACCAAAGTCAAAAGTCACCACAGACACTACTCCACTGACCACATGTAAATTTATCAGTTTATCTTATTTATCTGTGAAGAAGAAAAAGAAAAGGGAGAAGGGAGGGAGGAGGGACAAGGAAAACAAGGTACCAACCAAACAGATTTTTAACCTTGAAATCTAATTAAAAATATCAAAAGAATAATTATATTTTAATAATTTTCATTTTTGGTAATGGAAATTAATTAATTTATTTTTAAATTGAAATTGTTTTAGTTCTTGATGTTAAGTGAAGGGTGATTGCAAATTGCAAAGCATAATACCTATTGTGTATTAGGTTGTAATATGTCTACCATTTACAAGGAATTTAACGAATGTCCTTGTAGCGATTTGAATTGGCTGGATTTTACAAAAACAAGCTGCGCTTTTTTTTTTCGGTAAAAACCATTTTTTTCGCCTCATCAGATCAACGTATGTGTATTCCATGGCATATTTTGAATATTTTTTTTTTTTAATATAGACGCAGCTTAAGATATTAATTGTTATTAATATCAATATCATTTAATTTTTAAATTAATTTTTTCTATTAAAAATTCTTATTGTTTAATTTATTTTTGAATGGAAAAAAATTTAAAAAATTAACTATGTAAATAAAAAAAATCAAAATGATCTACACGATAGCCGCTGAACTTGGCTTTACATGGAAATATATACGCGCTCTGTCAACCTATGAAACACTTTGCATTACCTGAATGAGGGATGATAATTTAAAATCCTATCGGCTCCTCTACAGCGCACGGCTGAATATTATGTGTGCCGAGTTATATTTTTCCATGCAGAGAAAAAGGTTATCTCGAGCTAACACACCACAAAGAAAATATTATGGTGTAAAGCTCTGTATACCCGTCTTTTGGCTGATTCAGCCGCTTGCTAGCTC